CCTCTTCCTCCTCCAACCCCTGCACCTCCCCCTCCTTTTCCTCCTCCTCCTCCTCCTCCTCCGCCTCCTTTTCCTCCGCTTCCCCCTCCTCCCTCGAAGGATAACGGCTGTCCCCCTCTTTGCTCCTACACTCCCCTGGTCGTCTCAACTCGCCAAAGCGTCGGTTTGGGATGGGCTGGTGGGGATCTTTTCTTCCGCAGCAAGAGGCGAGCGCGCCAAGAGCGTCGGAAGAGCAACACTGGCCGCGACTACCCGAATTGCCAGCACGCGAACGAGGCAGGCTGCCGAATCTTACCGCCGAAGGGAGCTGCGCCAGAACCGGGCTGCGCTGGGGGTGGAAGCTGCTAGCTGCGAGGGCGTCTGGAATGCAACGTGCAAGTACCATGGGAGCGGTATCGCCAGGTACAGGAATTACCTTGTCGCCACCGTGCGCCAGAGGAAGCGGGGCGCCAGGGGCCACGCCAGCCTGGGCAAGAAGGCTGAACCACTCCTGCGAGCACCAGCGACCCAGGGACCAGCGGGGAACTAAGCAAGGGAAGTGCATGCACAGCCAGAACTGGTCAGAACGCGCGGACCTGACTGCCAGAACACTCGAAACCACGGGGCGGACAGAGTGCACGGCCAGGTGACGGGCGCTTCCACCACTGTAGATGAGGACGAGCCACAGCGCCAGTGCCGGAGAAAGAGCCAGACACGGCCGAATCGACGGTGTCTGGGGACCAAAGTCCGGAGAAGTGCAAGCACAGGCGCCGGAGCTGGTTAAGGCGCGTGAGCCGAGGGCGCCACGCGGGGGCCAGTGCCAGGGAGACCACGCCAGGCCATGGCAGGGTCAGAGCACAGGCCAGAGGGACCAAACACGGTTGAGCCGACCGGTGCCTGGGGACCAAGGCCCGCTGGCTGGTGTTGATACAATTTTTTGCTCGCGAGCGACGCAAGCAGCTGCGCGCCGTCAGAAAAAACAGGTGGGGATACTTTTCCGTCGCGGCCGCAAGCGAGCGCGCCAGCAACGTCAGAGGTCGGGCGGGCTACGCGCGAGCCTAATTGCCTAGCGCGATTTGTGGGGATACTTTTTTGTCGGCAGCCGCGAGCGAGAGCGCAACAGCGGCGAGTCAAAGTCCAAGCGGGCCGCGCGAGGGGCTAACTAACCAAGCAGAAGCCGACAGGCCTACCGCCGCAACTCAGGCCGAGACCAGGAGGTGGCCGAGGGAGGGAGCAGGGCTGCAAACTGTCAGGGACTGCAAACGTGCCTCAAGCTGCAGACGCGCTGCTGACAACCAAGGGCTGCTGACTGCCAGGGGCTGCGAGCTGCCAGGGGTCCAATGGCGTGCACAGGTGGGGATACTTTTTTAGTCAGCGGCCGCAGGCGAGCGCGCCAGCGGCGAGTCCAGTCAAAGCGGGGCGCGCAAATACAAATTAACCTAAAGCGGCGGGCCGGAGCCTCACGCAGCACCTTAGCGGCGGGCCGGCGAGTGGACGGGGCTGGCTGTAGGCTGAATAACAGTACTGCCATGGTGCACGTATGCAACGCGTCGGAAACTGCAGGTCGTCGGGGGGACCGGCGATCAGGGACAGCAGCAGACGAGGAATTAGATGCAAGGGTGCAAGCCCCCAGACTACTACGAAGGTTCCAGGGTGGCCGCAGCCAGTTGAACCGACTGTCGGATGTCGAATTGGGTGCCCAGTGGGGGCGTGAGCGTTGGCAGGCTGCGAAGTACCAGGGTGGCCGGGGCCAGGAAGTCCAACAGCAGCAGAACGCACAAGTGCGAGGAGCAGCCAAGCTGCAGAGCGGCCAAAATGGCGCGGGGCACCACGAAAGGAACCGTGGGAACAACTCGGGAAACCAAGCTGCGGCCCGAATCCAGACGGGTACAAGACGTGGCGCCAGCAAAGTCGCGCACCAGAAGCCCTAAGTAGGGAACGCGTGCCCGTAGTCAGCACACCGGTGGTGGCGACAGGTGGGGATGCTTTTATGGTCGCGGGCGGACGCGGTCACGCAGTCGCCGAAGGGGAGGTCCGGGGCACGGTCCTGCCGAATTGGCTACGCGCGAGCCTCGAGCGAAGCGGCCGGGCCAGCACTCAGAAGCAGCTGCCGGCGGGGCTGCAGCTGATGGGGAGCTGGCTGAGCAGTCAGCTGAAGGCCAGGGCAGCTGGTGCAACATGCAAGAGAGAGAGAGAGAGGCTGAAAGACGCCAAAGTGAAATGAAGTCCTGCACGCCAGGAGAGCATGATCGGTTCTGTACCTGCAACCACGCATCAAACTAGCGACAGGTGTGGGGGTACGCGAAGCGTCAATCATTGATCGGCGGGCAACGCGTTTTTTTGACTTCAATTTACTCGTGTGTGCATTTTCCCGAAAAAAGAGGAAAGCCGTCTGCAAGCGCAACCTCAACATTAGAGAAACCGCTATCGACAAGGTAACGCACACCTGACGGTGCGACTCCGACAGTCTAGGCTCTGAGCTCGTCCCCGAGCACGACGACATGGAAGTGTACACTCCCGCTCCCGTCCCCAAGTTGACGAGGAACCAGGTCCTGAGAGCTCAGGGAAAGGGGTCCTGGACACCGGTGCCCTCCCCCGGACCAACTATTCCTCCTGCTTGCTGACGGCCCCAAAGCACGGTGCGGGCCCCGACAGACTGAGGAACGCGTCTGCTTCCGATCTCCGCTTGGCGCCAGATGCGTTCCTGGCACGTTTCTGCCTCGAGCACGCTCGACGAGAACGGATACTTCGGCGATGACGATGCCGATGGCGACCGCGGCGACAGAACGGAAGGCGAAGGTGACGGTGGCGACGCAGCAGCTCGCAAGCAGAGCCTCTCCCCGCTGGGGCAGGCCAGAAGCGCCGCACAACTTCGAGGCCCGCTTCCCTCAGGCCCCACTTGCTTCCTGGCGACCCGACGACCGGGCAACCTGGCGTTGTCCCGTCGACCTGGCGTCGACCCGGCGTGGACCTGGCGACCCAGAGCCCCGCGACGACTCCCTGCGACCTGGCGGCCAGGACCCAGAGATCCGATGTCGTGACTTTTTCCATACGGGACCCCTTGAAGTCTCGACCCATTCCCTAGGACCGGCTCTCCATCCCGAGTCGCTATTTCACGGTCCCGGGGCCTGGCGAGATGCCCTCAGGAGGCTGAAAACGGCGAAAACCCCGCCGTCTTGATTTGTGCAATGCGCTGGATCTCTGGGCCTGCGACCTGGCGACGAGGACTTTGGAGTCCCGAAACGGTGCGGTGACAGACCGTGCGGTGACCTCGAAATCCCCCAAAGACCTCACCGCACGGTCCGTCAACGCACGCTTTTGGGACCTCGGATGCCCCACTCGCCCGCGACGTCCTCGGAGAACGACCCGAGTCCCAAAACCGTGCGTCGACCCCGAATCCCCACCGACTCACTGCACGGTGGGGTCTCCACCCCGTTTGGGGCCCACAGAGAGGACGACGACGAAGACGCCGGCGGCCCCCGGCGGCACGCGCGCGGGCGCGCCCGCCTGCGGCACGAGCGGGCCCGTCGGGGCGCGGCGGGCTACTCCCGGCTCGAGCCCGGCGGCGCGGTGCCGCGGATCGTGAGCAGCTGCCGCAGCCGGGGTTTCGGCGTTGCTGCCACCCCGTCGTCGTCGTCGTCATCGTCGTCGTCGTCGTCGTTGTCGTCGTAGGTCGTCGTCGTCGTCGTCGCGGTCGTAGGTCGTCGTCGTCTTGCTCGAAGGTGGTCGTCGTCGTGGTCGTGGTCGTGGTCGTGATCGTGGTCGTGTTCGTCGTGGTCGTAGGTGGTCGTCGTCGCGGTCGTAGGTGGTCGTCGACGACGACGTCGTCGTCGTCGTGGTCGTACGTGGTCGTCGTCGTCGTCGTCGCCGCCGCAGTCAAGGTTTCGGTGTTGCTGCCACCCCGTGCTCGCGTGTGATGAGCCATAAAAGTACCCCTGATCCGTTGGGAAGGCCCCCCTGGGGCACGAAGGGTGCACGTGTCTTCGCTCTCCTGGTTGATCGCTCCCCCATTACAGTCAACGCGCCTAGGAAGGACGCGCGCCTTCGTCCAGAGTACCCTTGTGTCCATGCCTCTGCGGCCCGTCCTTTTTGCCCTTGTCACGGGTCGCCCGCCGCCCAAAAGATCCAAACTTCGGCCTCCATGGGTCTTGTGCCCTTTCCACTCGTCCTTAATACGCGTTGCTGCCACCCCGTGCACGCGTGTGATGAATAACAAAAGCACCCCTAATCCATTGGGAGTGGACCTAAGTCAAGAGGGCCACAAACATCATGTTCACACGTGTCAGACGAAATCACCCATGTATTTAGGGATATCCCTTAAAACCGTGAACCTACGTTAGGCCACGAATCGTCAATGAAGGACGAGTGGTAAGGACACAAGTCCCACGGGCCACCAGTGAAAACGGCCAAGGACGGGCCGCAGAGGCAAGGACACAAGGGTACCCTAGACGAAGGCGCGCGTCCTTACTAGGCGCGTCGACTGTAATGAGGGAGCGATCAACTGGGAGGGCGAAGACGCGTGCACCGTTCGTGCCCCAGGGGGGCCCTTCTCAGGCACCCACAGGTGCACGAAGGGTGAACCGTTCTTCACCCCCTTCGGTGGAAACTCACGGGGGCCCCCCATGCCATCTTGCTGACTCTCTCGAGCCGGCGCTAACCGACGCTAGTCGACGCTAACTCGACTCTCAATGGGTGCTTTTCATGGATGACCAGACGCGAGTGCGCGACGGGGCTCTCTACAGACGAGGTTGCGAGGACATGCACGGCTGAGGCTCCCATGACTTGCCAGCTGCGGGTGCGAGACGAAGTCGCGAGGACAGACGAGGCTGAGGCTCTCATGCTTTGCCAGGTTGCCACCCCGCGCCCCCGGTCGTCGCCCCCCCATTGACGCCGAGCCCGAGGACGCGGAGCCGCCGCCGCCAGGGCCCCGCCAGCGACGGCGGCGAGGGGGGGGGCGGGGCGCAGGGCGCGGGACGGGGGGGATCGGGGACGCCTCGGGCCCCCGAGGCCGAAGAGCTTGCCCAAGAACGAGGGGGGGAGGGGGGAGAGGGGGGGCAACGATCAGGGGGAGGCATCGACCTGGGATCGGCGATACATCGCCGATAGATCGGCGAGAGGTCCCCGATGGAGAATCCCAGCGTTCCTGGGCGGGGTGGGGCTCTCAGACCCCTGTCGGCGATGAATGGGCGATTGGCAAGTGGGGGTCGATGCATCACTGACCCAAAGTTACTCACCTTATCGTTGCCTCGGAGGGGAGGGGGGGACAAGACAATAATGGTTACGATCCTCTGCAGCGTCTGATGGAGGTCGTCGCACGTCGCAGCCACCTGGTACGGTCAAGCCGCATATTAAGGATGCGCGGTCCGGATGCCAGGGCCCTGGAGGGCCATGTTGGCGTCCACGAACGGGGTTGGTCATCGAAAGTCGTCAAGGATGGGCCGAATGGGGCAAGGATGCTAGCCTTGGAAAGTTGCTCATCCTTGCTATGCGACTTGACTTTACGACGAGGAGGAGGGGGGGACCGCAGAGGAGACAGGAGGAGGAGGAGGATGAGGAGGAGGAGAAGGAAGGAGGAGGAGGAGGAGGAGGAGGAGGAGGGGGAGGAGGAGGAGGAGAGGAGGAGAGGAGGAGGAGGGGGGGGGACAAGGAGGACGGGGGGACAAACGAGGAGGTGGAGGACGTCAGCGCGAGGCGGGAGCACGCGCAGGAGGAGCCAGGACGGCGTCGCCCATCGCCGCTCCTCCGGGCGTGTGCTTCCCCTGCGCCCCTCGTCCAGGACGAGGAGGAGCAGCACGACCAAGAGATACCATTTCGTGATTTTGCTCAATAATCAGGGGGACGTAAGACCTGGGTACAGGGGACTCGGAAATCCCCGACGAGGTCGTCAAAAAAATGACGAGGCCGGGCCTGCATTTTGACGAGGCCTCCCGCTGCAGACATCCCACGAAACTCCTCCTCGTCAAAATCCGAGGCGCGGTCGTCAAAAACCGATGGCGAACCCGAGTCCTGGCAAACCCGGGTCTTACGCTCCCCCGAAATAAGTGGTCCCTGGACGTCTCGACCCACTCCCTGAGACCAGTTTCTCATCCTGAATCCTTTTCTTCACTGTCCCGGGGCCCGGCGAGAGCCTCTCGAGGCCGAAAACGGGGAAAACCCACCCGTCTTGATATTTTCAATGCGTTGGATGGATGTGGAGTGAAGCAGAGATGGGGAGGAGGGAGGGTTATCAGAGGCAACTGCTGGGAACTGCTAGAGGGAAACATGATGGAGAATTGCACTCCATTGGCTGGAGCCTCTTGGGGCCTCTTGGGGTCCTCGTGGGGGCTCTTAGGGGGCCTCCTGGAGGCCTCTTGGGCGCTCCTACGGGTCTTGGGGGCCTCTGGGGGCCTCCGGGGCGGGTCTTGGGGGCTCTTCGGAGCGTCTTTGGAGCCTTGTGGTGCATCTTCGGGCGTCATAGGGGCCTCTTGGGGCCTCTTGGGGCCACTTCGAACCACTCGGGACACGCCTTTTGGGGGCGTCTTGTGGCTCTCTTGGGAGGGGTGCGCAAGCCTCAGAAGCGTTCTGGAGAAGGAAAAAGCGAGAACGCCAAAATCAAACATGCCCCGTGGGTTTTCAATAATTGTGGCCTCTCGATGGGTTTCCCTGGGTCTCTGGGGTCTCTTGGAGACCTCTTGGGGTGGTCTTGGACGCTCTTGCGGGCAAGAGCGGCTGTCGGGGGGCCGTCTTGCGGGCAAGAACGGCCTCTTGCGGGCAAGAGCGGCTGAAGACATGTGCGAGAACAAGGAGCCGTGACCGATTAAGAAAACAGAAGCGACATGAAATATTCGGCCAAAAATGGATGGCTTGATCAGAGCAGTTGCACAACATGGGTACGAGACACACGTGTATAGTAGAACCAACGCGCGCGCTTCGCGCGCGTTCGGGTTTTGTGGAATCCCAGCTCACACTGCGATGTCGACGGCTGGGCGACGGTTGCGGCTAGGACTGAAATCCGAAGACGCATAGGGAAACACGCGGCAAACGGCCCTTCCCTGGACACGAAGGTCTCGAAGAGGACGGCGAAGAGGACGACGGAGACGGTCGGGGGCACCGAGAAACGGGAGAAGTGAGGGATGAAAAAAACGACCCTACCCTGGGTTACAAGTGCGTGGTCTGTAAGCCTCCTGGGAACCCCCAAAAAGCCTAGAGCCGCCAGGACGCGGCACATCACGCAGGGTTTACCCTGTCAGCCCACAGGAGTTTCAGCGCACAGCGCCTCGTAAAAACTTTTTTTTTTTTTTTTTTTTTTTTTTTTTTTTTTTTTTTTTTTTTTTTTTTTTTTTTTTTTTTTTTTTTTTTTTTTTTTTTTTTTTTTTTTTTAAAAAAAAAAAAAAAAAAAAATCCCCTTGAAGAAGAGGACCATGGCGGCGACGAAGACGAGGGCAAAACGGCAAGGAACGACGCGGGCAAAACACCTTCCAGAAGGGGGGGCGCAAGCGCGGATGCCTGGGCCTTGTCGCTCGTGCCCCTTCCGGCGGCGCTCTGCACAGGGGCCCTCGGCCGCGCGACCCCCTCCGCCGCCGACCCCTGGGACCTCGAGCTCCGAAGCCGCGGAGGAGGGAGAGGAGGGAGAAAAAGGGCAGGAACCACACTTGCAGGGGTTGGTGACGGCTGAGAAAGCGAGGCGGTGATAGAGCTACCTTTCCTTACTGTGCACTCCGGAGCTGCGAGCCCGGATGGCAGCGAGGCACCCTAATCAGGTCGGATGTGCGCGGGCGTTCGGACCGATCTGGCGGAGCAATGAACCTGAACCGAGAAGGAGGAGTACCAGAACTGCCCAACCACCGCGCACCTTCTCAATCCGCACAGGAGGCACTGCCGCCACCTGGGGGGGGCGCGCGCCAGGCCGGCGGAGTGCGTGCTCACCGGCTGCGCGCACTGGGCACGCTTGCGCTCTTGCGAACGGCGCCGCGCAGCCCGCCTGAGGTGCGTGAAATGGCTGACCAGGTGCCGTGCCTGCGTCAATGCGTAAGCCGTGCGTCGCGGTCAGGGCGGCCGACAACCAGGGCGAATTTCGACGAAGTGCGACCTGCGACCCGCGTGAATGAGGTGGCGAAGGTGCGGCTAGACATTGTGCCGGCAATCTGGAGCGGGAAATGAAGTTAGATGTTTTCCTCGAGGGGCGCGGAAGAAGATATCCTGCGCTTCGCCTCGCAGCTCGGTCCTAACCCTCCCCTTCATTGCCTCCATGCTGGAGGGTGGTGCGAGTCCTGTCCGGGTCCGCTGCGGCGTCGTCCGCCGCGGCCTCCTCAGCGTCCTCGGTTGCCGGGACCTTCTCCTCGTCGGCGTCGTCGGCGACCGCGTCCTCCTTCTTCTAATTATTATGATGCTCTTCCGCTCGCTTCTCGCCCCGCGCCCCCATGCTCTCGATGCCATCGCGGCGCGTCTTCTTGGGGCCTTTGCGGGCTCAGCCTCGGAAGCCTCCGTCTTCTTGCCCTTGTCCTTGCCGTCCTTGCTGCGCTTGCGACCGCGCTTGGGCCGCCGGTGCTGCGTTTGTCCACGGCCGCCGATGGGTGCCCGACATCCCGCGGCAAACCTGAGAGGGCGCGCGCCGGCGTCCTGGCGTCCCGGCGCTGGCGCGGCACGCCCTGATATAATGGCGGTCCACGGGGCAGGAGGCATGGTCCCTGATGGTGGCCCAAATGACTGTGGGGCCTTGACTTCTGGCTCTGGCCGAAACGGCCTGCTCTTCGGCTCGAGCGACTTGGGGCGAAGCCGAGGCCAGTGGGCCAGTGTCCCCGGGCGTGGGTGTCCGGGGCCAGCAGGGGGCCCTCGCCGAAGCCGGGCCCGGCAGACCCGGCCATGGGCCTCCAGCGCCGGCGGCGCGCATGGTAGCGCTCGCGGGCCAGTAGATCTGGTGCGCCGCCAAGCGCAGGGCGTGGACCATGACGCACCGCGGCGCGATCTACCCCTCGGGCGTGGGGAGCGCGTCGGGGTCGATGTTGTACTGCCTGCTCGCGATGCGCACCTCGTGGCTGAACGCCGCGCGCTGCTCCTCGTCCGCGCGCCCATCGGCGAAGTGCACGAGCTTCGCGATGTGCTCGGGGAGAGGCTGGCTCACGCGCCACGCTCGGCGGAAGTGCATGTCGACCTTGACGGCGTCGGGCAGCTCGCTGGGAGTGAGTCGGCGCCCTGTAACTTCCACTGCGCGATCTGCAGCAGCCTGCATGTCCACCGACGAGCGCCCGTCTCCCACGAACGCCGGCGGCGGAGACGCCGGCGCAGCCCTCGACGCGCGCGTCGCGGCCAGCCGCGGGTACGTCGGCGGCGGGGCGGCCGGGGCGATGTCTGGGGCCGCGGGGCAGCACTGCCGCGGCCGCGCATGGCTGGGGGGCCGCGCAGGCGGCGGCGCGCGCTGAGCGGCGGGGTGGCCTGGTCGCCCTCGCGGCCGCGGCCGCCCAGCGCCTCGGCTGGGCCTGCGCCCTGCTGCCGCGTGGGCCTCCTTCGCGGCGGATGTGGGGGAGATCGCGTTGGAGGTGGCGCGCGACGGGCGCGACGCCTCGACGCTGCCGCGGGCGTCGGCGGCATTGTGGGTGGCATCTCTGGCGGGCGAACGAGCTATCGCCCTTGGCTGGCGCTCTACTCCGGCGCCGTGGAGGCGGGCTGGTGTTCGCCTCGGAGGGCGACGGCGTGGTCGACCGCGGCCACCTCCCATCGCGCGGCCGCGCGCGTCGCCCTCGCGGGCGCGCAATCTCTCGAGGCACTTTTAAGCTGGTTGTTCGAAGTCGTCGATGGGGCAACTATCCTCCGGGCTTCGTTGGTGCCATGCAGGACTCAGCAAAGATCCCGGGGTAGCTGCCGCGGGGTAGCGACCTCGCGGCGCTCGGGCCGCGCGGGCCAGGCCCCGCGACGGCCAGCGCCTCGCCCAATTGCTGCTCTGGCAAGTTTTCCGAACCAGCGGCGTTCTCCCGGGCGCCAGTCGCGCCCAGGGTGAGCTCGATCGGATCGCGTGGCGGATCGCGGAGTCAGACAAGGCAAAAGCACGGTGACTCGATGCCCACTGGGGCGGCGCATCTCCCGAGACCTCGTTTCGCGGTGTGCGTTGGCTGCCTGCTTGGCAGACGGCAGGGGTCTGGGCGCCAGGCGCCGGAGTCGAGAAGTCCGATGGCTTTGGCCGAGCCGGCGGAGTCTTGCACGGCGGTGCTGGGAAGGTGGCTGATGCTGGTGGAAGTGGCGCCTCGTTCGAGCTTGGAGAGCGTCTGGGCTGACTCGTGAGACTGTGGCTGATCTGCAACCGCGGTCCGACACGCAACATTGCCTCGCATCGCGCGCCTTGCCAAGCGCCAGAGCCCGACCCGGAAAGTCTCGGCGTTGCGAGTAACGCTAATTTGCGGCGTGGTCGCGTTTATCTGGGCACCGCAAGTCGCGAGACGGCGTGGGCGGATGCGGCGTGTTGGCGATGGCCGGGAAGGGCTTCTTGGCTGCGAGGCCTCGCGGGCCCTTGGCCCTCAACTGACGCGGATCGCATGCCCTCGCATCCACCCGCGGGCGTCGCGGCGGGCAGCGCGGCCCTGAGCCAAGTGGGGCCGGTTCTTCCACGACGAAGTATATGTCCTTTTGCGCCCGGGCAATCGCCGCCTAGCCGCGGAAAGTGATGCAGGGGATCCTCCTCGTAGCGCGCCCTCCATGTCTCGTGATTGATTCGGTAGTTGGAGCCGCTCGGAGGTCCAGCGCTGCGGCGAAGTGGTGCCACTGCTGCTGCCAGAACGTTCTTGGACCTGCAATGCCTAAGTATGAATTGTTCCTGTGGTCGCCAAGTCCATATCCCCGCTAGTCGCGGGTCGACGGCGCGCAGCGATGTGCGAGGTGCTGGTTTCGAGTCCGCACGACTCGCGTATACCCATTCATTGGACCCGCGCGGCGGCAATAACGATGGATCGGCATATCGGTGGCCTGGCAGGCCGAGATGGGGGACGCAGATCCGAGACCCGCCGCGGTTCCGGTCGCAAAAGGTTCGGCTTGGCGCTAATTCGTCGTTCGAGAGAACACTGGCCTGTGCGACGTGCGCGCCCTGGGCATGCTTCGCCGACTCTCCGATATGCAAGTGTCCCACGCAGCTTCTTCCGCGTTGCAGGCGGGGCGATCGGTTTTGCCCGTCCGCTCGTGGCGCGCGGCTTCGCGCGCCAATATGTTTCGCTGCCAATTGGGAAGCGTTGGCGAGGCAACTACCTGGGTCGCGAATTCGGCTCGTGCGCGGCTCGTGCGGGCGCTGGGCCAGCGACTCTGACGCTGGTCAGTTGGTCCGCGGTGGCGAAGAGACGTCGGATCGACGCAGCGCGCGGAACAAGGCCATGCCGCTTCCGTCGCAGTTCGAACACGGAAAATCACTCGTTGGTGTCGTGCTCGCACTGGTGGCGGTCACTGTGACAATCCTTCCTTTGCTCGTCTTACATATGTTGCTGCCGTTGGTGCTGCTAACGTCGATTCGTGCTGATGTTCGCGCTGCCATTGATATTCGAAGCTTGATGTCGGGCTGACAACCTGTTCGGGTTGAAAATTGCTGGGCACCTGTAAGCAAAGCAGTTGGGCCATGCGTGGGCCTGACCGGCATAGATTCAACTGAGCAAGAGCATCTGCTCTTACTGCTCATCCCACATAGCTCGCCAATCGCACGTGGACTTCCTGCAGCACTTCTGCGTCGCTTCGTTTCGCTTCGCTTGCGTGCTGCTCACATGAAACGTGCCTCGCTTGGTGTGCAAGGCCCGTGGCGTTGCCCAGCCAGGACTGCGCCTGGCCTGGTGTGCAATGCTGGGCGGGCACGTGCAGCTCACATCCGTGCCGCCGCGAATGTGTCGTCGCCATCTGGAAACCCGTCCTGGGCGGGGATGGAACATGCGGTTCTGGTGTACGTGCCAGACGACAGAGACGGGCGTCGCTCAGTCTCATGCCGATTGCTGGGGACGTGGCGAGTTCCACAGCAGTAGATAAAACCTGCCAATGCAATCCATAGCTGCAGACGGTGTACAACTCGGGACACATGCAAGCATGAGCGCATGAGCAAGATCGAGCGTGCGCTTACCTTTGCTTCCAGCGCTGAAATGTTGAAGCGGCGTCGTGACACATACGAACCCACACATGCGTCGGGCAACTGCGCTGGGACGTTCCGAATAATGAGCGGGTATAAATCCAAGATGCATTATGCAAACGGTCAAACCTCGCTGCTTAAGAGCTCGTGCCATGCCGGGCGCACGCTCAATCACGTAAGCAAGTTTCGCGTTGCAGGGGCAGCCCGCAGGGAACCGCCAACTCATTGGGAGCTGAGGGCGGCCGCTGCTGAACCTTCGCAGCGGGGGCAGCAGGGGCTGACGATGCATCATGCTCGGTGTCTGTCTCTGTCTCGCCAGTGGTGACGCGCAACTTTGCCGAGCGGCCTGGGAATCCGCCGCTCGACTGCGCAGATCTTTAGAAGGCGTCGTTGGCCATGGCGAATTGTCCGCTCGTTCGTTGCCTTCTGCGGAGGGATGCGTCATGCGCCAGCTGGCTATTGGGTCTGCGCGTCGCCAGCCACTAGGAATATCAACTCGTGGCTGCCCATGTCCAAGATTGCGTGCGTAGAGCCCGTACTCCGTAGACCTCATAACCCAAGGAACTCGAGGCCAGTGCATCGTGCGCTGGGCGGCGTGAAGCTGCGGAGCGTGGCGCGGCCCTGATCATCTGCGACGGCCCCAGGAGCGCACGCCTGATGGGTGCACTTTCGTGACAGGCTGCCGACGCCGTGAGTGCTCAAGGCCTTGCTCACGAGAACTTGCCGCGGACAGTGCCCGCCTCAGACGCGCGAGCGTCTCTAGCCGTGATGCTGGTCCACGCTCCTGGGCCAAACATCACACTGAGCTCGTCTGTGGTCGGCTGAATAAGACTGGGTAGACCTGAGCGTCGCACTCGCCGGCGGACGATGACGCTGACGACGAGGAGGAAGACGATGACGGTGACGACGAGGAGGAAGGGAGGGGAAGGGAGGGGAGGGAGGAAAGAGGGGGAGGAGGGGCAAGCTAGGGGCACTCGCGCCATCCATTCCCATTTCGCTGAATTGCCTCTCCCCGCCGACAGGTGTCACGCGTACGTTGCAGGAGGAAGAGGTAACGGATGAGCAGGATGATGATCAGGAGGCAGAGGATAAGGAAGAGGAACGAGTAGGACCAGCAGCAGCGAGAACAGGAGTGAGAGGAACGGGAGCAGGAGGACCAATGCAAAACGGAGGGGAACGAAGCGGGGCGACAACGAAGAGGAAGGACTCGAATCCAGAATTGTGGCCCGCGCTGGGGCTAGAGCGCCATTCTGAACGACGGGGGCAAAAAGTCGACCCTAACGCGGAGTCAACTCTGCAATGGGAACACCATGTTCAAGCACCTGAAACTCTCCGATGGAAGAACATCATACTAAATACCATTACTGGACAAACAATTTTACGTCTATCAATCGGCAATCTGGACAAACCAACCACGTTCGGGCTGGATCCGTCCGGAGAGAGAGGAGAGTCGTATAGGTGTAGGTGTGCAGCCGTCCTCCTTCTCCTCGTCCTCCTCCTCCTCCTCAAGCTCCTCCTCTTCCTCCTCCTCCTCCTCCTCCTCCTCCTCCTCCTCCTCCTCCTCCTCCTCCTCCTCCTCCTCCTCCTCCCCCTCCTCCTCCTCCTCCTCCTCCTCCTCCCCCCTCTCCCCCTCCCCCTTCCCCTCCTCCTCTTCCTCCTCCTCCTTCTACTTTACCTCCTCCTCTTCCTCTTTCGCCTCCTCGTGGGAACGGCCGCCGTTCTGCGCGTCGCTCCTGGCAGCACGCCTCGTTGTCGAGAGGCGGGTGAGCGCGGGGCGCGGGAGGGAGTACAGTACGAAGGGGCGTCCATGGAGTCCATCGAGGGCCCCCTCCCCCCCGCGGGCGGCGCTCCTGGCAGCACGCCTCGTTGTCGAGAGGCGGGTGAGCGCGGGGCGCGGGAGGGAGTACAGTACGAAGGGGCGTCCATGGAGTCCATCGAGGGCCCCCTCCCCCCCGCGGGCGGGGGCGCAAATCGTCCGAAAAGACCGTCTCGGAACACACAGACTTTGTCCGAAGTAGTACGGAGAGGATGAGGAGGGGCACGAGCAGGAAGAGTAGGAGGCGGGGGATGATAAGAGGAGGATGAGGACCCTGGTCTGTCAAGGAGAGGGGGATGAGGAGAGGAGGATGAGGAAGAGTAGGAGGCGAGGGGGGGGTGATCTCAGGTCAAGGAGGATCCTCCTGGTCTGCCTCCCTTGGCACCCGGGTGGAGAAGATGGACCAGCATCGTCATTATCACCCTCGGCGTCGAAGGAGGGACCGAGAAGAAATGACGTTCATGCCAATAACGATGACGATGTTCCTCATGACCGAGATGGCGCTATCGTCACGGTCCACAGGCAATCCCGTGTGCTATCTGCCAGCAATATACTGCTCCGAATTCCCCACGCAGGGCTTGCACGGGAAGGTCCAACGCACCCCTTGAGGCACCGACCCTGGATGCCACACGTAACGGGTGGCCGCATAAACGCCTCCACCCCCATGAAGTCACATACCCGTTGCCCGAGTGAACTGTCTGGGGCCCACGTGCTTGAACCGCATAAGCAGACTCTGGACTAATAAAATCCGGCATCGGAAGTCCTTGCAGGCTACTGACAGCAAGCTGATACATAGGATGGTGACCCATCCCCCCTGTGGGAGAGACTCTGCTCCAACCACAGAATCCTATTAGCGCCCTCGCCCTGGGCGGAGATGGGGCGGGCAACAGTTAGAAATGCGCCCATGGTCGTCCAGGTGCTCCTTCAAGCGCCATCACTATATACATCACGGTTGATGACGCATGCGTGTGCACAGCTGTACGGCCGCCCCGACGCGGAACGGTCGGTCACTGCTCCTGGTGACGCCGCCCGAGTGGTTCAAACTCGTTCCCCAGAGCATCGGGGTAGATGACGATGGCTGGAAGCTGCAAGTCGCAACGTTGATCAACCAGAGGTGCAGTGTATGATCAGTGAAATAGAAGAATTGACCGACGCCATCGCCTTCGGAGCCCGCGACCAGGCTCCGAGAATCCGCCGACCCCCGCTTGCGGGGGGTGACAAGGCGTGTAGGCTGCCCCCTGTCCCCGTTCCCCCTCCCATCACGGTCCCAGACCCGCCTAGAGAGGGGAGGATGCAAACCCGCCAACGCACCCCGAAGGCCCTCGGCAGGGAAATAGGACCCCACGACGAGCCAAAGAGCCCCAAGAGAGCCTCATGACGGGCCAAGAGGGCTACGGGACGGCCCAAGAGCGCTCCAAGACGCCCACAAATGTCCTGCAGACAGCCCAGAAGGCCCCCAAGGCACCCCAAGAGCGCTCCAAGAGGCCTCCCAAGAAGCCAACATCGTTGATATGCCATTGTGTTGCGAGGCATGTCGGTGTCATTGCCTTTCTGGGATTCCGACGCTCAAGACGGCGCAAAAGGCCCCAGGACGGCCTCCCAGACAGCCCAAGACGGCCCCAAGAAGGCCTCAAAAGAACCCTCGAAGGGGGAACACACACAAACACACACACAAACACACAAGCACACACACATACACACAAGCACACACAAGCACACACAAGCACACACAAGCACACACAAGGACATACAAGCACACACACAAGCACACACACAAGCACACACACAAGCACACACACAAGCACACACACAAGCACACACACAAGCACACACACAAGCACACACACAAGCACACACACACACAAGCACACACACAAGCACACACACACAAGCACACACACACAAGCACACACACAAGCACACACACAAGCACACACACAAGCACACACACGCAAGCACACACACAAGCACACACACAAGCACACACACACAAGCACACACACAAGCACACACAAGCACACACACAAGCACACACACAAGCACACACACAAGCACACACAAGCACACACACACACACCGTCTCTTCGAGCCCTCCGACCCAAGATGAACCCAGATACCGTCACCAGGCCCCCAAAGAGGCCACCGAGAAGCCCAGGAGGGCAGGAGGGCCCTCCAGAGGCCCAAAACGAGGACCCCAAGACATTCTAAAACTGCCTTGAATCGAGTAGGGGATCGACTACAGAATTGATTTATCTCCAGATTTTTCCGTCGAGTCATACGTACAATATTTGTGGACTTACGAACACTATACGCATATCTCATGGATCCAGCAAAGAAATGAATTTGGGGTAAACCAATTCTGTAGTCGATTCCCTACTCAATTGAAAAAAACGCCGTGAACATGTGTACTTGTAAACATCGTTAGCCGGCTCCCTGCCGCAAGAAAGGCGGCCCAGCGACGAACCCCGACGAACTGACTTGACTCAAAAAATGGCTCCACGAGGGAGACCTCGACGAAGACCCCAGAACATCAAAAACCTTCCCGTCGTCCTCGTTCGTCCTCCTTCTCCCTTACTCCCACCTCCGGTGTCGTCGTCGTCGTCGTCGTCGTCGTCGTCGTCCGTGTCATCCTCTTCCTCCTTCTCCCTCATTCTCTGGGGGAATGGCGTATCTCTTGAAAAATCATGTCGACATCACCTTCAGAGCCCACGATAAAGATGAGGCTCAAACACATCGACTGGGAAGATGGCGAAACAGACTCGAAGGAGCCACGCCACCTGCGGCCTGTGCCCCGCTCACAACAAACAGAGGATACAATTCTGCCCAGCGACCACGGCGTCAGAATTCCACGCGATGTTTTCCTGGAAGCCCTGCACGTGCGCTGGGGTGATCTCCAGCCGCTTTCCGTTCTTGCACACTCCGAGCTCGGGCGGCATCTCCTGGTTGTGGAACTTCAAGTAGGCGCACTCCGCCGCCGCAGGGTCGACGAAATTGACGAACGCAAGCGACCGGTTCTTGGTTTTGTTCACCATGTCGAGGGGGATGTACACCAAGTCAAAGGAATCCTTGAACCCGTGACTGATGAGCATACGGGCCAGCCTGTTCGGCGTGAGCGCCAAGTCCACGTTCTTCAGCCTCACGGTGGTGAAACCGCACAGGCCTTGGGGAGACAAAAAGGTACCGATACCGCTACTCCCCAGACCTCTCCCGGGTGCGTTCTGACCAGGATTTCGAGGCGAATCCAGCGGTGGCGACGAGGACCTACCAGGAGGCCCGAAAAAGGGAAAACGGGGGCAGGATAGAGGTATGGGTACCTTTTCCTCCTCTGAGGCCTCCCCCGGAGAGCGCGCTTCGGCAGGCGGCCTCCAGATGAGGAGTCGCCACCGCACGGCGCGCGGGGAGGGTGCCTGCGACCAGCGCCTCGTTGCTGGTGTCGCCGTGCCTCGGGGCCTCTCCTTTGGGAGGGCACCAGATATGCACCAACACTGGTCCTGGCCAGGAGCACCCTGGGCCCAGCATCGGTGTAGGTGCATATAGAGGAAGAGAAAGCAGCAACACCATAAACTTTTTGGCGTTGCGCGCGGATTCTTCGATCCGACCCCCCTCCCTGGCGCGCGGAGCGCGCCAGGTGCGGCGCCGGAGGCGTTATTCCCTCTTCGAGCACAGTCGGTGCCCTCCGCCCTCCGATCCTTGGCGCTTCTCCTCCAACGACCTGCAGAAGCCTGCCGCCAGCGGGCCCCGCGGGCTGCAGGGTCCGCCGGGGCCGCCGGAGCTCCTCGAGTCAGGGCCACGGGCTCGCAGCCCGTCGGCGTCGTCCCAGCGGCCCGCCGTCAGCGGGCTCCGGGGCCACGGGGGGCACAGCGCGGCGGAGGGGCTCGGGCGGGCAAGCATCATCGCCCTCGTCGGAGCTCGGTCTGCGGGGTCAGGGGGCCGCGCAGGTTGGCCTCGAGCCAAAGCGGTGGCAGAAGCGACGACGACGAGGATGCTGCTGATGTCGGTGGTGGTGATCCGCCACCGTGCCTCCTGGCACGCTGTGGCGTCCCAGACTGCCAAGCGCTGTCTGGTAGGGTGTGTGTGTGTGTGTGTGATATTTTACGGCCTACCCCCCTCTACTCACACTTGCCTGCATGCATCGCCCCCTTTTCCGAAGCCATGACCCCAGGCAAAATCACTTTGCTTCGAGAGATATCCACCGAAACCTTCGGCGTTTGTTACTGCGTCTGGAACTGTTTGTCAGTGTGGCCAGCGTGGGCTCGGCGCACATGACGCGTTTGATACGAAGCCGTTCGTCGGTCGCTGCTGCATTATACTCTATCGTACGTTGCTCGGTTCTGTTCTGTTCCATGCGCACATGGTTTGTTCTGTTCTGCTTTGGACGGGGCGGCCTGACGCCCAACTGTCTTTGTCCTGCGGCCAGCCTTACGTCGGCGTGGATGCTGCACTTGACAGGGCGCCATTAATCGATCGCTGCTGTCATCAATCGTATTCAACTCTGTCATATTCTGGGCCGGCGTGACGTCTTGGCGCCTGCCACGTTGGATACGTCGTCTAATCGGACGCTGCTGCGCCTGTTTGTTCATGTGGCCAGCCTAAAGTTGGAGCGCACTTCGATGTGTCTTGTTGTGTTCGTTTTGTGCATAATTCGATGATCGTTATGGCACGGTCGTCGATTCTGATATGTGCGTTTGATGAGATGCCGTGAATTGGCGGCCACGTCATCACATTGCCATATACCCTGTTCGCTTTGATTACGCCCCAATGTAATATGACAGTATGTTTCTGTTATGCTTTCTTCAGGATGAGCAGGCGTGGGCTCGGAGTACCAGTGAGGCGATCCGGCCCCAGTTGGGCAGTGGTCGTTCGTCGATGGTGATGGATCTGTTAGCACTACAGGAAGAGTCCAGGAGCGCATGTCCAAAATCGGGCGAGGGGGGGCTCTCCCATATGCTGCTCCTGCTGGCCCAGAGGATCGGATCCACTTCTGGCTGGTGGGGTGACGCGAACGCCTAGATTTTCTGGGGCGCGCCAAAGCCCTTGTCTGTCGGGATCCCCTGTCCACGGGGAACTGAAGAACTCGGGCACGCACTGACCCGGGCCAGCCCACCCCAGCTCGGCCAAAGCCCTGTCGCGAAGCCTTGCTGGCCGCTCAATAGCTCCCAAGCCCAGGCCAGCGGGCGACCAGGGAGAATGAGGGAGCCGTCTTCGGGCCCGGGGACCGTCAGAAACGGTAGACGGGGGACTTCAGAATCGGTCGACGGGGGACTTCAGGAGCAACGATTCGAAGCAGACGTAAAACAGCATAAACATAAATGTCTGGCTCAAAACTGATACGTTCGAGCCAGCATCACAGTGCCCTGTCGGCCTGGGGCCCATGAGGCGCCACAAATCGGAGTAGGGGAGGAGACGAAGGTAAAACGACATAAACACACATGGTCGGAGCTACGCGGGTTTCTTGGATCGGCGCTGGGCCCACCTGGTTGCGCCTGCGGCGCCGCCCCTGGCGCGCTCGGCGCGCCAGCAAGGGGAGCTCCAGCGCCGATCGAAAACATCGGCGCGGAACTCTGCAGGTTTATGCTCATGCCGCTTTCTGTTCCTCTAACGACGGGGGGGGATGAGCTTATGGGGGGGCACATCGACCCACAATCGCCCACTGTCGCGCAGTGGCGAGGCGTCCTGGCTTGCCTATAGGCCCACCAAGGAATGTTCTAAGACACTGTTCTCGCTGATACCGTCTGCGTCTGTTCTTAGAACATTAGCTGTTTTAAGATCCTTTCGCGGTATGCCTCAGAAATGACAGGACGGTCGGTCCCTGCTCTAAGAATGCGTACGATGGCCAACAGCACGTTCCTGCCCACTTTGATCAAGATTAGTTGTCTGTGTCGATGTCTGTGTCGACGCGGGCATTGTCCGTCTGAGATCAAAGCACGCCTGCCCAACTGCAGTCATCGTCGGTATTGGACAGCATTTTCCTTGGGCATCATGCCCATTGCAGGCGTGCCGTACCGCGTGTCAGCGCTGAACGGGGTCAGCCAATCCTCTCTGGCTGACCTGGGCTCGGGAGCCACAGGCCGAAACAAGCAAATATCATCGCCGAACCCAACGCCTCGGACGTCGCCCCCCCTTCATGCTGGCCAGAACCAATGCTGGGCCACCTCAGGCTCCAAGCCGGCTCCACACTCCCCCAAGCTGAAGGATCAGAAGTGGTGATGTCCCAAGCAAAACGCTTGGCCCGCCCTACCGACACGTCTCGGGGTGCGACAGGGAGGAGTTGCCGACAAGGAAAAGATGGTATGGTATGGTATGGGTTTGCGCTAAACGCGGGGTCAAGCCCCAATTCAGAATGGCTCGGCGTCGGAGTCGCCCTCCTCAGGGCTGTCCGCGCTCCGCTGCAGGGCCGAGCGGCCGAGGTCGCGGACCAGTTCGAGCTCCCCCTCCCACAGCCCAAACGCCCTCAGAACCTCGGCCCGCCCCCCATGATCGGCCCGCCCCCATCCGCCACTGGCCCCGACGCTTGGGGCCGCGGGCTGTGGCTCTGGGGGCAGGCTCAGCTCGGCCTCGGCTAGGCTCGAGCGGGTCGCTGGCAGCACTCCATGCGGCTTCCCGACCTTCAGCGAGCGCACATTGGCGCGGTACGAGGGGAACTCTCCTTTCTTGATCCTCCGCAGCTGGTCCACTCCTCCAGCTTTGGCCTTCTCGGGGCACCGCCCCCTTAGACCCGAAGATAACTTGCCGTCCGAGGAAACGGTGCCGCAGCGGCAACAGAAGCCGACAGAAGAAACGTGGGCGGTGCGACTGAGCACATCAGCCTCCAGCAGGTTGTGGCCTTGCCACCAAAAACTGGCGGCTGCATACTCTTCCCACCCGTCGCCCACCCCGTGCGACGACCCCACCTCCCCACCACGGCTGCACGCCTGGGGCACAGGCTCGGGGTCCTCTGGGGTCTCAGGGTCCTCCTCGGCAGTAGAGCCCCGAGACCTCCAGTACGCTTCCATCAAATCTTCGTGGTCTTGGCCATTGGACTCTACGTGCACACAAGCCGCCCATCGGGCGGCTTCTTGGGCTAAAAACAAAAAGCCTTGCCATAACTGAAACTGCTCCTCGCCCACGCCGTGCTCCGCAGCACCGAGCTTCGCAAACCTGTCGGCGTGGGCGTTCCCTCTGTACTCCCACTCAGTGGTGACACCCGCATCTACCTGGGCTCTGGTGCAGTGGGCCTTGGTCTTAAAAACTTGGAAGTCCCCTTCTGAGAACGCACCCCAGAACGGACTCCAGAGCTGGGCCCGCCCACAACTGCTTTGGGATCCAGCGCCCGCGCCGCCACGGAGAGTCCCAACAGTGCCTGCACAGTCGATGAAGACATCGAAGGGCGCCATGGCACAAACGCGCAGCATCGAGACGGCGTAATCCCCCGCGTCTCTAGAACTCTGCTTAGGGCACATACTACATGGGGCGGGCCCGTAGGCCGCCGAAACTACATCTCCAAACCTATCTACCTGCACGATGGCCCAGCCCGCTCGGGCCAAAAACGGAGCCGAGGCCCATAAGGCCGAACCGTCTAAAAACAGCGTGCCACTCAGGAGCCCTGACTCAGGTCTGTTGTGCCACAGGATGGTCTCTTGGGCCTCGGTCACGACGGGGAAGACCAACTCTGGCGACGGGAACAAGCCTCTCGCAAACCTCTCCCCCTCGTCGTACCCCCATTCGCGGACCCTGCGAGCCCTCGTCCTGTGGAAGTCGTCAACCCATTCACGCCTGAGCCCTGCATGCTTCGGGCACTCGTATGCCCTGTGCCACAAGGACCCTTCGGGATCACCGCATACAAGACACCTCGCTGAGCCAACAAGTCCATGGTGGTGAAGCCGACTTTGTGGCCAGTGTCCTCCAGAAACCAAGGATCTAAACGTCCTCTGAAACCTCTTCGTCCAGGATCCCTTGGTTCGATGCGGGAGCCCCTCCAGTCCTGCCCAAAATATCGGCATATTCCACCTGGCTTTGGGCTCACGACAAAAAAGCGCTTGGCGATCAGAAGCTCGCCTGGCTCCTGCAACTGCTAGCTCCTGAACGAGCGCTGGAGGTAAAACGCGAAGGTCTAGTGCTTCCTGCCGATCCGTGACCATGCACGCACCTGACCGCAAACTCCAGCCTATCCTGCGAAGACTGAGCACGGCGACTTCTGCTGGGGCTGCTGCTTGCCTCCAAGGTGATTGGACTCCTTCGAGACGGCCCAGGGCTCCTTCAAGACACCGTTCCAAAACAGGAAGCTTCGGAAACGACTCCCAGACCGCCGCCGCCCATTGGAACACAACCATCCCGATGTTCAACAGCAGCGGGTCCACTCGGACCCCTTCAGCATAGCTCAAGAGACGGAGCCCGACCGTGGAGCCCTGGGGACCTTCCCGAGACTTCCAGCAGCTCCCAATCGAAGACGATGCAGTTGGGTCGAAGGAATCCCCAT